CGCTTTGTATGGAATAATTGCGTCTATCTATATATCTACAAAATGAGAAAACTTTAAAAGTTTATTTAAAATTTTTATCTTATCTTTCATATTCTCTTATATATCTATAAAATGAGAAAACTTTAAAATTTTATTTTAAATTTTCGATATCTTTTTTGCTATATTATTGTTTTTTTGCAATAAGTATATAAGCAAGATTAAAAAAATTTCAAAACTTATTACGCTAAGAGGAGGTCTTAAACCTACCAAAACAGCACTGATGACAGCGCACTTAATCACTGAGCTATCAATGAAATGCATTTAGCAGAAAAACAAAGCTAATTATAAGTATCTTATAAACTTTACGTATGCGGAAAAGATGCGCATGTTTAGTTTTTTGCTCTTTAATATTTTTTCAAAATAAACTATTTTACTAAAAAACATTGAAGTAAATAAGGAATAGGTATAGAAATTTTCGGCTAGAAATAGATATGTAAATTGGTAAAGACCTGTATTTTACGGATCCAGAAAACTAGAATATATAAGGAAAAAGTATAGAAAAGTTCGGTTTGGATTAGATATACAAAAACCCGTATTTTTACGGGGCCGATCTCAGCTTTTTTCATGTCATTATTTAATTTAATTTTGTTTCATTTTAGACATCTTACAATGCTTTTTAAGCATTTTGCAGAACGAATAGAGGGCTCACATTCCTCACATGGTGTGGGTTCAAATTTAGGGCAAAAACATCCCCCACCTTTTTATATATATATATATGTAATAGATGAGAATAAGTAATAGATACAAAAAACGCTGCGTCTATAATGAGGTTTTATGTAGTTGGTTATTCTACCAATTAAACTAAATATTTCTTATTCTATCAATCCTTTATTGATAATGCAAATACATCAATACAATACAGATTACTTTTTGTTCCTTTAAAACATGCCAATGTGGTTAAAGTGCTTCGCATGGGTTCAAATCCTTTCGTTTTCACATAAATTTTTTAAAATCTTTTCTAATTTTCTAGAATACAAAATAAAACATTTTTAAACGCCTATAGATATATGCATAACATATATCAAGATGTTATATACTATAATAAACGAAAGGGAGAGAATTTTTTACAAAGCTTTTTAAAATTAAAACATGATTACACCGTTAAAAATTTGTTGAGCATTTGTCACGGTACTTAAGTTGTTAATGTGTTTACTTTATTAGTTAAGTCTGTGCATTAAAGGGACAATTTTATTTCTTATAGAAAAATATTTTACATGCCCTGTTAATTTAAAAAAAAAAAAGATTTTTCTTTAAAATTAAAACGACAAGAATCCTAATAAGCTGCAGATGCGAAAAAAAAAAAAAAATTATTAAAGAAAATAATAACCGCTGCCCCGTTTTTTTTTTTTTTTTTTTTTTTTTTTTTTATAGAAATTTGTTGAATTTATAAAGTATTGAACATTTATGGCTATATCAAAACTAAGATTTGTATATTTATCTTTAAAAATTATTGAAATAAAGAGAAGTTATTTCGGTCGGTGTGGAATAGACTTACCATGACCAGTATTAAACTGCTCATGGTATGTCCGTTATTCCACATATTTAAATCATCTCATATTTTTTAAAATTATTTACGATAGAATTTTTTTTTATGGCTCAAAAATTAAAACAATGAGTATAGTTTTTTTATAGTTATTTTCCTACCTTTTACTCAAATATATTGAGTTATAGATTTAGTATAGAAAAGGTCGGTTTGGAATACATTTGCAAGATCCATATTTTATGGGTCACGACAACAAAAATTAAAAATAAAGCAAGCTGATGATTTGAAATTGCCACGCAGCGACCTTAAGTTTTTTAAAACAGTACGGGGGTTAAAAAAGTTTTTTATAAAAACATAATTAAAAAATTCTAGTTTTATATTTAAATGAAACCATTATATTAAACTTAATACTTCTACAAAAAAGTTTAAAGTTAAAGTTTAACTTTTATATTTAATATTGATATAATAAGGAAGTTTAGAGTTATACTGCTATTAATTCACGCCCCCGTTAAACATACAAAACTAAGTACGCAATGACAACACAATTTAGATAACCATTAAAATAATATTATACTCTATTATTTTTTAGCTTTATATACTTTTTGGCTTATCCTTTATTTAAACTTTAAAATAAGGAATCATCCATAAATTACTCAACGTTAAATTTCACAATTCAAGAAAATAAAAATGATCTAAATTTTTAGAGCTTATTAAGTTTAATGAAAATCGTCATCCTAAAGAACTGAAGATCTCTTCTACTTTTTGAAATATAAATTTTGCGTTGCGTAATTTGTGGGCAATACCATAGCGTTTTATAGTTAGTAAAGTTTTCTGCTCTTAAAGTAGTTTTTTAGAACAAAATTATTTTACTTAAAAGTATTGAAGTAAATAAGGAATAGGTATAGAAATAATCAGTGTGGAAGAGGTATGTATAGAAATAGTAGGTTCGGGAAAGACCCGTATTTTACGGATTCGAAAAGCTAGGATATATAAGGAATAGGTAATAAAAAGTTCGGTTTGGAATAGACTTACAAAGACCCGTATTTTTACGGGTCCGATCTCAGCTAATTTTATTATAAAATCTGTTTTATTTAGGTATTTCAAGTATAATTAAAGATTGAATTAAATATTTACTATGTTAATATTTATTATAATAATAAATATTTTTAAATAAATTATTTTTAAATATTTATTAGGTTAATGTTACTGATGAAAAAACTATTTACAAGCTAGAAAGTAAGTCAAATTTACAATTCTTTTCAATTCAAATTTAGGCTTGAATAGGTTCCAATTAACTTGTGTACTATAGGCTTTGTCAGAGCATTTTATAAGCTTTGTCCGAGCTTTTTAGAGCTAACAAGTAAAATATTTTTTACTAATGTTATCTTTTTTGAATACTATTTGTTTCTTTTATGATAAGAGTTTTTGTTAAAAGACTTAATTTCAATTTATGAAGTTAATTAAATTTTTTTAATTTTTTAGTTCTACTATTGTCATAGTTTTGTTTCAGTTAGTTTACTGTTAAATATGATTGCAATTTAATAAATTTCATTACTTAAAGCTTACTTAAACAATCATTAGATAACAGCTCAATTCAGCATATTATGGTAGTAATTCTGCACAGGTAACAATTATGGTAACAATTCAGCACATTAAGGTAGTAACAGTTTTATTTACTTGTATCTCAACAACAGCTTTATATATATATATATATATATATATATATATATATATATATATATATATATATATATATATATATATATATATATATATATATATATATATATATATATATATATATATATATATATATATATATATATATATATATATATATATACAAACACAAATGCAGCATTAGGCCCAACTTATGACATCATACTGATTTAGAAATAGGCAAGGGCTTCAGTACATACATTGACTGATTCAGAAGAACTCGAGAGGGAGTTAACAATACATAGGCATTGGGTTGGGGGAGGGATCAATATTTTTCATTATTCTTCATTTTTCAAAACATTGAAATATTTACAAAACATTACATTGTAAATATCTATAATAGGTTTTTAATATGTAATATTTATGGAATTCATTTTATATTTTTTGGATTCATTTTATATAAATAAATGTAATAATTTAAGGGAATTTGATGAAAAATAAATAATAAAGAAAAATTTAATTTGTTGGTTTCATTACCTTCTTTACATTAATATATAGAATAAATTTTGTAGGGCCGTCACCTGCTGAGTTAAAATGTGTTCAATCGTTGTTTAACAAAGCTGGGAGTTATGACGAAAGATCATTTAAAAAACAATTATAAATGGGCATTTCCATTTCTGTGCGTGATTTTTTATTTTTCTTTGTTTTAGCAATTAAAAGCTAAAACTTTATGCAATATGCATTCTATTTTGATTTTCTTAAAGAACAATTATAACAAAAATATTTTTATCATATTTTAGGTTATCTGAATAAATTAAATATACAAATTTTTAAAATTTTATTGTTTTGAGTAATAATTTAGCTACATTTTGAAAAATATACAATAATTTTCAAAACGCAATACTCTAGCTAGAAATAATTGATGACTGCTATTTCTCATCAAAAATATATTAAATATGAGTCGTAGAAGTATAATATTTCACATGAAATACTCTCAAGCAAATTATTTTCATAAAAATAACTACATGAAATTGACAAGTTTGCAACATCCGTGCGTGACTTCCGTGCGTGATCATTCACAAACTGCATTTAAACGATTGCTTTGACTCTATGATTCATAGTGCAATCGTGTAACTTTCTGGAAATCTTTTCTAATGTTTAAAATATTATTATAAAAAAAAAGTATGCCGGTGAAACTTATATTTTCCGAGGAATTAAAGTTTATTTAACTAGTAACTAAAAGAGAAGTTTTTTTGTTCCGTGCGTGATTCCATTTCAAACTTTATTTATTCTTTGTTAACATTACTAATGCTTACTATTTTTTGTTTACAAAATATTTATATTGATTAGAATTAAATGAGAGTAAATTGGAGATCGCTAGTTTTGTTTTTATGAAAATAAAAGTAAGAACATATACGAGTTTTCATGCGTGATTTTTTGGAAATGCCCAAATATAAAATAATAACAATGTATAAAGCAATTATAGGTTAATTTTAATTGTTGATATAACATGTTTGTTTTTTTAATTTTATTTCATATTCAAACGATAAAATAATGTTAAACGTTTACAAAACGTTTTTGTTCCCACTGGACAATACCTGTATTGATTTGAGTAGTCTTATTCTTGCTTATTTCACATCTGCTAATTCCTACTGAAAAATTAGTTGGAATTAGTGCAATATTGGAGGTCGAAATTACGTTTTTTAACAAATTGGAAGAGTCCAATTCCCATTTATAAAAATTTCTTACGTCGGTTTCAATTTCTAATTTTGAGTTGTGCTCTAATAGGGAACTATAAAATTGTTTTTAATTTTTTTACCTGCAAACTCCTCATCTTCCAATATTAGTTTGAAGCGGAAGTTATCATTGAAGTTGACTCCGTACACATAGTTGACCATGTTATTTAGCATCAAACTTTTACCTGCTCCAGTCATTCCAACCATCATGATCACTTTTTTGGATATGGTTAAATCTGTGCATTCTCCAAGTGAAAAATGGCGGAAGTTATGTTGCTTATCCTGTGATAAAAAACTTTTTAATATCAATAATAATTATATTTTATTTATAAAACTGGTTCAAAACTATTATATTTTTGATTTTAAAATAAATTTAATTTGCACCTAATTCCCTTAAACATAAATGTTGGAAATAATTTATAAAAAATTTTCTCTCTTACTTTTATATGCGAAATACACGGGAAGAGACGTTTAATCATTTATGAAAACTTTTTCCACCCACCCCATGCTTATCCAGACCCCCTTTTTATTAGTTTTTGCTTGTTATTAACGAAAAAACATCTTGCAACTAAAAAAAAAAAAAAAACAAACTAAAAAAATGTAAAATTAAGAATAATAGCAGACAAAATGTAAAATTAGTCCCTGTAAAGAATAAAAACTTAAGGTGTAATTTAGCTTTAAAAATTGTCGGCCTTTAAAAAATCTCCTAACATTCTATTTGTCAAAATTTAGGTTTTCGTTTAATTTTTAAAATAATATAAAACTTATGTAGGCATATTAAATTTTATTGAATTATATTGAAGCAGATGTTAAAAATTACGCATTTGACCGCAAGCAACACTACAATTAAATTGCTTAGGCATCGTCCATAAATTACGTTACACAAAAAATATTTTAAGAACAGAAGTAGAAGATATTAAGTTCTTTTACGCAGCGGTTTTCATTTAGCTCAATATCCTATTTTGATTACTTATTTAAATTAAGACTCTGCGAGGGAAAACTTTTGATCATTTTTTGTTTTGTTTATTGTGAAATTTTGCGTTACGTAATTTATGGACGATCTGTTATGTGTGTTTTATAAAAAATTCCGACCTTTACATAAAAAGCCCCTCTCCCATTTTTAAGATCTGGACTAAAGTCCCCTTCTTTGAAATTAAACGCTCGAGAATACCTGAAACATATGCTTCAAAATACTAACCTCATGAACCATTTTTACTAAAAGTTTAAAAATGTGGAGCTCATTTGTATTCGATATGTGTTTAGCTAGCTTTTTTACATTCCTTGCAAGCCGACCTTCTGGAGTTACAGCAAACACTTTCACCTGTGGTTAACCATACAAAATGTTAAAGTTTAATATTTTTCTTTAGCAATAAGTAATGACATAATTTCTGCATTTTTAATTTACAATTGACAATTTACACTTTTTTTAATTGTATACATAGTTTTGAAAGTAATATACTATATTTGAAAATATTAAACTATATTACCAGCTTTTTTGAAAATTTGAAAAAATTATACTATATTACCAGCTTTTTTGAAAATTTGAAAAATTTATACTATATTACCAGCTTTTTTGAAAATTTGAAAAAATTATACTATATTACCAGCTTTTTTGAAAATTTTAAAATATTATACTATATTACCAGCTTTTCCAGCTCTAAATTTAAATTTTCAAAATCTTTTATGCATTTGTTTAATAAATTTGAGGCTTCCAGCATAAGCGTTGCATCGTTTGAACTGTCTTCAAGTTTTTCGACTTGGTTAGAAATTTTTTTGTGTTCTTCAAAATAATCTAAATTTTAATATGCATGCAAATTTTACATATGAAACAATAAAAACATCTTAATTTAAACCTTTACATTTTAATTTTAATCCGAAATATATTAAGTAGACACTCTATTATAAATCAAAGGGGTTTTTCATTGAAAAATCAATTCCATTTTTACTTATCAATTGTACAACGTTTTGTGGCGTAACTTTTATGAAAACATACCTAATTCTAGTAATTAGTGGCGGTGATTAGAGGATCACAGCGTTGGCATCAAAGAGTCGTAATACACAAAATAACATATTTTCATAATTTCTATGATTATATTTAAAGCATATGTAGAGTGCTTATTATAACATAATTGTTTACGAAGTTTAGAGGACAGTATGTTAGTCTGCAATAGGGATTCTAACTAAACCTTAACTTTTGAGTCTAGTTTTTATAACTTTTTTCAAACAAACGATTTCTTATTAGACAATGAATCTGATCCTGATCATAATTATTTTACTGATTCTGGTGTTTTGCAAAATTAATACAACTAATTTTATGCCCATGAAATTAAAGGATTTCTAAATCAAAATAATATTAACACAATTCACATTAATATCCGAAGTTTGAAAATAAAAATTGAAATCTTTAGTAATTTTATTCAAGAAACTAGTAATCTTTTTAATATAATTTGGTTAACAGAAACTTGGTGGCTTTAAAAATGTCAAATTTTCCCCAATTTTTTTTTCCAAAACACTTATCCCCAAAATCTACATTTTTATTTTCAATTAAAAATGCTTTGGACTGTTTTTAGTTTAAATTAACGCATTAGATTAGTACTTATTAAAAATATATGTTATGTATTTATATTTAATTTATTCATAATATACCTATAAAAACTATAAACGGCTATTTGAGTCAATCTTAAAACGCTTAAAGAAACGTTACTATTCTGAACAATTAATAAAGCACAAAAATGATTCTAAAAAAACTTGGCATATTATTATGGAGGTAATTGGAAAAAAAAGCTTATACAGAAATTTACTTCCTCTAAATCTTAAATTTAATAACAAACAAATTGTAAATAAATCCTTAGTCGCTGAAACACTTAACCAGTTTTTTGTAAATATAGGTCCTACTTTATCATCTAATATAGCAACTCAATCACACTTTAGTTCGTACTTAACCTCAACCAACCTTAATGTTATGTCTAATTATAAACTTACAGAAAAAGAACTACTAGACGCAGTCTCTTTATTAAAACCCAATAAAAGTTTAGGATTTGATGATATAAGTAGCATTATCAAATCAATAAAACAAATTACAGTTCCATTACTACATATTTTTAATTTATCTCTAAAACAAGGCGTTTTTCCAGATAACCTAAAAATTGCAAAAGTAATTCCAGTGTTAAAATCAGGTGATCCTTCCGATGTTACGAATTATAGACCAATCTCAATTCTTTCTTGTTTTTCTAAAATATTAGAGCGGGTTATGTATAATAGACTATATTGCTTTTTAAATGTTAATAATATTCTTTATCATAAACAGTTTGGATTTAAATCTGGTCATTCAACTGATCATGCAATCACTCACCTTGTTCATGATATTTTTAAAGGGTTTGATGAAGACAAGTATACCCTAGGTGTATTTATCGATTTAAGTAAAGCTTTTGACACTGTCAATCATCAAATCCTTCTATCCAAACTGAAAAGTTATGGTATAATAAATACTAATTTGTCCTGGTTTGATAGTTACTTGACTAATAGAAAGCAGTTTATTTCATATGATAGCGGAAAAACGGAATATCACCTGTGGTGTTCCTCAAGGATCAATTTTAGGACCACTTTTATTTCTCGTTTATATTAATGACTTATATAAATTTTCTAACATTTTAAACTTAATTTTGTTTGCAGATGATACAAACTTGTTTTATTCTAGTAAAGATATCAGTAAATTATTTCAAACAGTAAACAAAGAACTTGAAAAATTAACCCAATGGTTCAAATCAAACAAACTATCTTTGAACATCAATAAATCCAAATACACTTTGTTCCATCGTCTTCATAAAAAACAAGATATTCCATTAAAACTTCCTGATCTTTTTATTGATAACGCATTATTAAAAAGAGAGCAATCAATAAAGTTTTTAGGTGTGGTTCTGGATGAAAATTTAACCCGGAGGGACCACATAGGTCTAATTGAAAATAAAATATCAAAAAATATAGGTGTTTTGTATAAAGCCAAGCAGTTTTTAAATCTATCTTGTTTAAAAAACTTATATTTTTCTTTAATTCATTGCTACTTAAATTATGCAAACGTTGCTTGGTGCAGCACAAACGCAACAAAAGTAAAAAAACTGTTTAGTAAACAAAAACAGGCTATAAGGATAATTACAAACGTAGACCGTTTCTCTCACACTAAAACATTATTTAATAAACTTAATATTCTAAATGTATATAAACTAAACCTTTACCATATTCTTATCTTCATGTTTAAACTTGATAAAAAAATATCACCAATGTTATTTAATTCACTTTTTGAAAAAATAAACCACATATACCCTACCAGATTTTCAAAAAACAATTACATTCAATCCAAAACACATTATTCAGCAACCAAATTCTCAATTGCAAATCGAGGTCCTAAGCTGTGGAATACAATATTAAATAATGAGCTGAAATCTAATTATTCTTTAAACCAGTTTAAAACAAAACTTAAGCAATTACTGATGATGCATGAAAATGAATTAAAGTTCTTCTAAAAAGCTTTTTAAACTAGCAAACAAAAACAAAAATTAACCTACTAATTACTCTTTAGTATTATGTTTAATATTCTAAACAATAGTCTGCTATTGAAAATGTATTTCTTATCTTATAAGTTTTGAATTTACAAACGATTTTTTAAGTTTTATTATTTGAAATACTAATTACTAAAAATATTGTAAAATTTTATAATTTCAATTTTTATTAAAAAAAGTTATTGTAAATTCTTTTTGTAATATTAATACTTATATATCATCTTATTTTACTAATCAGTTCTTAAATATAAATACTCTTTGAATTACTAAATATTTTAAACGTTATATATTTTATTTTTTACATTTTGTTAAAATATTTTATTTGATGAATATGCATTTTTTTTTTTTGGGGGGGGGGGGGCTTAATGATAAGATGAATTTTGTCTTCTTCAAGCCCCAGTCATGTAAATATTTGTTTTTATAAATTACGAGTGTAAATTATTTTCAATCGGCAAATACAATACTACTACTATAATATGTCTTAGAGTTGTTGGTATTTTAAAGGTGTTTTTGTTTTTATTTCCTCATCTTCCTGTTTCTGAACGCCACTTGAAGATTGTTTAATTTTCTGATTTTTGCGTTTACTAAACGGTAGTTATTGTTCACAAAAAAAAAAAAAAAAAACAGCTGCGACCATGTATCCTTCACGATTTTTTTTTCGTTTAAAATCGGCAATATTTTTTGCTTTATTAAATTAAGACCAATTTAAAGTTAAGATATTTGTTTATAGTTTTTTTTTTAATTTTATTTTATTAAACACATCGAACCGTTAATATTTAATACAGATTTTTTTTTTTTATTTTAATGTTTTCAAAAAGTGAAAAAAACAAGAAAATCATTTTACTATAAATATATAAAAATCAAATATTTACGTATTCGATTCCAACTAAATGCCTCTATCTTAAATTTGGAATTAATGATATTTAGGAAGTATGAAGGTTGTTTAATACTATCAAATAATATCAGTTGCGAGTAGCCATAATTTAGACTTTAAATCGATTTTGAAATACCATGATTTTAGACTAATTTAACTCTTACTTTACAATGTATTGTGACAATGAAAAATTTATTTGTCTGCAAATTTGAAGTTAATATAATATTGAAAACTAATTAGTTGATAATTGCAGCAATTTGATTAAAATAATCGCTTACAAAACACTCGTAACTTTGATCGAAAAGGTACAATAACGGGGCAAATCAATTATTTAATGCTTTTGAGTGACCCAATTTTTTATCTCTAAACTATTCAAGATCAAAATGTAAACACAAAAAAATGAATCAAGAAGGAGACGCAGTTGATTTTTTTTTCAAGAAACTGAAAAGGAAAATACTAATGATGCAAATAATGGTATATATATATATATATATATATATATATATATATATATATATATATATATATATATATATATATATATATATATATATATATATATATATATATATATATATATATATATATATATATATATATATATATATAAATATATATATATATATATATACATATATATATATATATATATATATATATATATATATATATATATATATATATATATATATATATATATATATATATATATATATATATATAATATATATATATATCAAAAATTGTGAAGTTCAAAAATTTATATAATGGATCTTCAGTTTTAGTGTAGGCTTTTAGTATAAACTGAAAAAGATTTTTTGAAAATTTGAGTATTAATCATAACCACTAAAAAGAAAATAAATTTACTTACCTCTGATATGATAGATTATTATATTGTATCATTTATTTTCTCTTTAGTAGAAAAGTTAACATGGTTTGAACAATAATATATATAGTTTTATTACATAATTTTTTAAAATTCGTGCTAATATATTTTTTAATGTTAAGTTTTATGTGTTTAATTTCATTTAATATTTTATATACAGTCCAATTAGTTGCAACAACAATTAAAACAGCAGGAAACATCCAAGTTCACATGCAAGTGATAAACTAATTTTTTGTGACGTTTTCACTCTTTTAAAATTTAGATTTTCCTAAAATAATGATTAAGTTAATGACTATTTCTGTAAAGATCATTCTGTAAATAAAAATTGCAATGATTTTTAAAACTAATAGTTATTTTTTTTTACTAATTGAATTTTTAACAAGTATTAATTTATACAAGATAAACTGCTAACTCTGTAATTTTAGATATGGTTCTAACAGTTAAATACCTGTCAGATATTTACCTTTTAAATCATA